TTGTGCTTCACAGCATGCATCGTTTTCTGGATGAGCCTCCTTAGCCTGATCAACCAGAACGTGGGCCCCTGAATGTATTCTTTGCGTGGGCGTACAGCTGGCTTCGCAAAGGCCAACTTCGCTGCATCGAGTACTTGTCGATTGGCTTCCTGCAGCTGAGCATTCATGTCATATTGCCAGCATGGCAACTCAATGGCAGCAACTTTTTCTTTAAAAATCTTGCGCGCTGCCTCCTGCTGCATCTTGTTGCAGTCAAGGTTGGTCCCGTGGCCTGCAGCCCGAGACGTCTGTACCTGCCATCGCAACCTGCCTAACACAGGGAAGTGGTCTTCGCTTTTTCTGATGAGGTCGACGTGGTGCTGTGCCCTAACCTCCCCCATGGACCGAACAAATTGCTTATTGACCACCAGGAAATCAATCCTATGCTTACTCTTCGTTTTATTGTCCAGGAACGTGTAGTCGTTCTCATCCCCGAGGAACGTGTTAGCAGCTTTCAACCTGAAGTCCCCCAACCACTCCAACATTTTGATACTCCCCGCCGAGCACGTGCCTTTCGTCCCTTTACACCCAGCCTCCTCGGTCCCTGGGCCTCCAGAAAGATGGCAATTGCCATCCACAAAACAAAGGCTGGGCGTCCATTTTTCACACACCTCACGCATTTTAGCCCAGAAAGCGGCTTTGGTGGCAGGAGTGTTGGCTGAGTGGGGCGCGTGCGCCACCAAAACGTACATGCTCACACCAGGTGCTTCGATCATTGCCATGAGGAGTCGCGGTGCGGCAAAGACCACTCGCACATGCTGCATGCAGAAACAAACAGGCTTGCCTCTAGCTCTTCCGTAGGGAATGCTGACGTTCAGCCAGAGCTCCACTCCTAGTCCGTAATTCTCGTGGCCCGCCGAAATGCAACACCAGTCGCCAGCTCGCTTAGTACTTTTCGCGTTTCTGCCCTCTTGAATCCCCACTATGTGCACTCCAGACAGGGCCAGCTGAGACCGAAGCGCGGCTGCTCTTCGCGCTCTATTGCGCCCCTTCACTCCACGGCGAAAGACGTTCCGAATTGACTGAGTGTTGAACGTGGCGACCGTGAGATCCACAGCAACCGCCGCATTTCTCGTCGGTGGGGCAGCGTCGGCTCCTGGTTCCTCGGCCTTTGCGACGCACGTGGGCATCTCGCCTCTCATCTCAAATTCATTACGCAGAAAGTTGACCTGTGGGTAGGCATGGCCGTCCTGATCACCAGGCAGCCATTCCCACAGGCGCACGTTGTTGAAGTCAACAGCCTGGACCCAGCTTCTCGGGGTTTCTGGGGGAGGGGCCAGGAGCTTTCTCGCCGTAGCTTTAGCCACGTTGTCGGCCAATATATTGGCTGGATGGCCGCAATGGGCCTTCACATGGCTTATGCTCAAGTTGGCCTCTCGGGCCGTGAGCTCCCAGACCACCCCCACAAGCCGGGCTATATCTCTATCCGACGCTGGGAGGCTCGTGCCCTCTGCCGCCCGTATCGCCCCCGTCGAGTCGCTGTCGACTGTAACCTGGCAAGTCGGGCGCTCGGCGAGGACCCAAAACAAAGCTTGAAGCACGGCCAGGCATTCTAAAGTCGTGCTCGTGGCACACGCTGGCGTGAGACCCATAGCATTGGACTCAGTCAAACTTCCCCTCATAACTCCTCCCAACATGCACTCACCCCCTTTATACAAAATCATTACCACAGCCCATGCTCCCATCCCCTCCCCTTGTGGATAGTGCGAGCCGTCCGTGAAAAAGTGGATGCTCGTGGCGTCGGCGACGTCGCCGCACCACGGGTAGCTGAGCAAGAGTGTCTCAGCCTCCTGCTCGAGCAGGTTCGTGTCCAGAAGTTCTTGCACGCTCAGATGCTGGAAGGTCCCTCTCCCCTGGCGTACTAGCTGCACAATCGTGGGCCCAGCTTCCTGACTCAAATCAAACATGGGGGGTGGATCCGACAGGCTAGAACTTCTGGGGAACGCAACATCCCTGCACTCACCAGGCTCAGAGCTCGTCCTCTCAGCTGCCACACCACACGGGTCAGAGCTATTCCCCCTTGATGTCGATGTCTGCTGCCCCAAATCGCGACGTGTCTTGTCGGCAATCAGCTGGTCAGCCCTGCAATTTAATTGAATGTTATTGTGCAAGCATTGTTCTCTACTTGCCCTGGATAGAAAATCCCCACACCTTAAAATCGAACGCGTTCCCGAAGTGCTTTCACCCTGGGTTGAAACCTGAGATGATTCCCGCCAGGTCTGTTCACCCGGCTTGGTCAAAGGATGTTCTGGAACATCAAAGTGAACTCTTCTACGCCCCGAAGCCTTCACTCTACTACTCACCTGATCTTCAGCTGCATGACCCCACTGCCGTTGATGAGGGGAGTGTTGCTCTTCTCGGTGTGCATGCGCCGCTATGCCCCGCCCGCTGCCGCTCCCTTCTTGGCGATCTTCGGGGCTGGGCTGCGGATGTCTGCGTCCGAGCCGTCCGCTGCACTGGCTGTGGGGGCTGAATCCCCGTTCCCCTGCGCTCCCGCGCAGGCTGCCTCGATGCGCGTGACCTCCCTGTCGATCTGGCTCGCGCTCAGGTCCTCTTCCTTGATCTCCTGCTTCGCTGCCGTCAACGATTCTGTTGGAGCTGCAGCCGCCAAGTACGGGTCCTCTTGCGTCAAGCCTCCATGCACTGGTTCCGTGGGTGTCATCGGCGATGCTGGTGCCACTGGTGGCGGTGGCTGAAAAGGCTGTGTAGGCACCCAAGCTGGTGGCTCCGCTGAGGCTGGCACCGTCGGGGGTGTGATGATAATTGGCTGGCTCCATCCTGGCGGCGTCCTTTGTCCTGGCTGTACTGAGGTAGGGGTCGGCTGTGGTGGCGTGCCAGCCTTTGGCGTCGCCGTGCCTCCCACCTGGGGTGGCGAATGAACCCCTCCTGTCGTACCATGGCCTGTTGGAGCCGACGGTTCCGCACCAGCTGGCTTGCCACTCGGCGGCCCACCAGCCGCCCCTGCTGTAAACCCCACCGCTGCCGTAGGTCTCGCTGACTCCGCTGGCGTGGTAGGTCCCGTCGTAGCTTGATAATGAATCCAGTTCAGCATGGACGACACGATGCCCTCCTGCCTTTGCTGCCTCTGGTTCATATCGGTGATGAGGTTCATCATCTGCATCATCTGTTGATCTTTTGCCGCATCCTGTGCCGTCTGTGCTGGCTGCATCTGTGGCGGTGGCCCTGGCACCTCGGGGCCCCTCATCGCAGGCTCGGCTGCCCCTGGCGGGGGCGCTGCCGTCGCGGGCCCTGGATGGGCCGCTGCCGCCGCGGGGGGCCCCATGGTGCCAGCAGCAGGCCCCGCACTGGCCGTGCCCGCCATGGGCCCCTGGGCCGCCGCCGCCGCTGCCTGCTGAGCCATCCACTGCTGCTGCGGCGATGGCCCCATGCATGTGTGAGGCATCTGCTGGTGCATCGAGCCTTGTGCACCCCACGCGTAGTGCGGCGGCGGCCCCAAGGGCCCATTGAGCCCAGCTGCGGCGTATCCTGCCGCTCCTGTGGGCGCCGCTCCGAAGCCCGACGCCATAGACTCTCCTCCACCTCCTGGCATCAGCTCGTCCTCTTCCTCTGGCATCTCCATCAACTCGTTCATGCAACTCTCCAGCTGCGCCAGCTCCAGCTCTATCTCCCTTTCCTGCTCGCGCAGGTCCTTGGCCCTCGCCTGCGTGGCGGCCAGGCGGTCCGTCGCTTTGTCCTGCTTGTACTTTATCTCGTCCTTCTGCTTGCGCACCGACAGGAGGCTCGTGACGCAGCTCTTCAGCACCATCAGCTCCATGTCGTGGCGCCTCCCGTCGTCCTCCTTCCCAGCCCTGCGGGCCAGAATCGCCATGCTTGCGATATCCTTCATCTGCTTCTCGATGTCGGCCTTGTACGATGCCACTTCGTTTGTTCTCTGTGGTGCTGGCCGAAACGCACTGTGCGACTTCGCTGCCCGATGCGGCATGGGCGGCAGCTTCTGCACGTAGTTGCGGATATTGGCCTCGTGCTGTTGCTTCTCTCGGTTCTGGCTTGCGCTCCTTGGCCTCGAGCGCATCGTTGCAGCATTCCAATGCTGTCCACACAGGCACCGATGGTGATGCATCCTCACGGCTCTCTTGCAGTTCTGGCACTGCCAGGTCGCCATCTCGTTGATGCCCTGCTGCGCTGAGTGGTGCTCTCCCAGCCTCCTGTACGCACTGTCTAACGCCACGAGTAGCCGTGCTTGATGACGCTGGGCTCGCTCTCTGCGATGCCTCGCGGGCTCGCGTGGAGCAAGAAAAAAAGAAATCGTTATCGCGGCTCTGTGGAGCACGCCTGGGGTCTGGCCTGTAAATGTGACAGAGTACTGTCTCGGATGTGTCCTGCGCGCGCGGGGGCGCGGTCTCAGGCCAAACCCTCTCCTCCTCCTCCTCCTCCTCCTCCTCCTCCTCCTCCTCCTCCTCCTCCTCCTCCTCCTCATCATCATCATCATCATCATCATCATCATCATCATCATCATCATCATCATCATCATCATCATCATCAGCATCATCATCAACATCAACATCCTCATCATCAGCATCAGCATCAGCATCATCATCATGATCCTCATCATCGTCATCAGCATCAGCATTATCATCATCAGCATCATCACCGTCATCATGGTCACCACCAACATCATACTCATCATCTGCATCGTCATCGGCATCGCCACCGTCAGCATCGTCGTCATCATCATCGGCATCAACATCGTCATCATCACCGCAACCACCTCCATAACCATCATCACCACCACCATCATCACTACCACCATCGTATACGAACCCATCTTGTCCTAATCCCTCCTCCTCCTCCTCCTCCTCGTCCTTCTTCTTTCTCCTCCTTCTCCTCCTCCTCCTCGACCTCCTCCTCCTCCTCGTCCGCTTTTTTTCTTCCTCTCCTTCCGTGCCAGCCTGGCGCGCAGAGCGCCTGCTTCCCGCCTCCGGCCGCGCCCCGCGCGACGCTCACTTCAGGGGGATGAAGCTCATCTTGCCGCCCATGCCCGCGCGGCCGTGCTTCGTGGGTTTGTACCTAGGCGCGGCGGCGTGCCCCGCCTCCTCGGCCGCTGCCTCTCCTCTGCCTCCTCACTGTCTGCTCCCCCTCCGAGGCCAGGCTAACGGCGATGTTGCTGGACGGTGATGCTGCGAACCGAACTGTAGGATATCGCGGACCACAGTTTCCTGCATGTCCACTCTGCGAATGAATCTTGCGAGCACGACACAGCGAATCGTAGGCAAGCGCAAACCACGCGTTCCCACACTACCGAAACCTGTATCGCCGTTACCTACATCGCCGTCAGCCCGTCTACGGCTCCTCCCCGTCCTCCCCTCCTCTCCGCCGTCCGCCGGGCAGTCCTCCTCCTCCGCTTGCTTCTCCCCTCCCACTACGCACGCGCGCGCGGAGCCACAGGTCCGCTACGACACGCGTCCGCGGATAGAGAAAATCAGCGCCATGGTAAGGGATGGGAGGGGAGGAGTAGGACGTCAGATATGACGCGAGCGCACATAGCTTGTCCCCTCCCCCTCCCCCCCTTTCCCCTCGCACGCTTCTGCTCCTCCTCCGCCACGCTCCTCTGCGGGGCGAGCGCGGGAGAGGCGTGGGGAGGAGGAGCAGCTCGAGTACCCCCCAGCTGCTTACAAATCACCACCTCCTTTGTCAACTGTGTTCGGGAGGATCCTCCTCCACATCATCTTCATCATCTTCATCATCATCATCATCATCATCATCATCATCATCATCATCATCATCATCATCATCATCATCAGCATCATCTCGATCCCCACGACAACTCCAACATTCACCTGACAGTAATCGTCATCATCATCATCCTCATCATCATGAGCATGATCATGATGATGATCATGATCAACATCCTCATCATCATGGTCATCATCATCGTCGTCATCACGATCGTCGCCATCATCGTCGTCATCATCATCAGCATTGTTATCCTGGTCCTTGAGCTGCTGCTCGTCCTCCTACACCTTGTCGTCATCACCATCGGCAACGTCATCATCATCATGATCCTCACTATTATCATCATCATCATCATCATTATCATCATCATCATCGTCGCCGTCGTCGTCGTCGTCGTCGTCATCGTCATCATCACCATCACCAGCAACATCATTATGACTAACACCACCGCAAACATCATCACCACCGCCATCACCACCACAACCACCACCACCACACCGCCACTGTCATTATTAACATCACCACCACCATCATCAGCAGCAGCATCACCAACATCCACCATCCTCCCCCCGTGCCCTTCTCCCCGTCATCATGACACCCGCGCGGGCGGCCAGCGGAAGTTTCTCCCGCTGCCCCCAGCGTGCGGGGGCTCACGTGATGGAGAACTCCCCCAGGTAGTGCCCGATGGCCTCGGGCTTGACCTCCACGTTGATGTACTGCTTGCCGTTGTAGACGCCCACGACGCTCCCTGCCACCACACCGCACCACTCTGCTGCAATAAAAGGCAGCACCCTGCCAAAGCGAGAGCCGGATTTGGAGAGCCAGCCGCCCTCCGTCCCCGTTGCCATGTCAAACTTCAGTACACAGGGGCGAAAGGGAGCCACAGTCAGGGTACGATGTTCAACAGGAGCCCCCTCCATGAAGTTAGCCATATGTGTAGATTTCCATCTTACAACAAGCGCACGATCATCATGAAAGGCTTCGAGCGAATCGGGTCTTGAACATCGCTTTCCGTGCACCTGCTGGATCTGTTGCGCTGTCGAATAACACCACGTAGTGTAACCCCTATCGATCACGGCAGTTTCGAAACGAAACGCCCTCCATCCATGTAGCTCCTAGAGGCGTTCACGATGAATGTGTGCGGCGCTTAGGCGAGAAGCGTTGGCGAACGTGGGGGGGACGAGGGGACGAGCGCTCTTGGCGAAAGTGGGGGGAGAAGTGAAGTGAAGAAGCCTGGCACCTAAACGGCGCATTAGCACAGAGGGAAACTGGCGCCCCACGCAGCTCACGCCTTCCTCAAGGCAGCGCTGCGTAGACGCAAAAAACCCATTGCTGCTTAGGCCTCCCGTGTGAACGGTTCTCGTCCCAGATTCGAAGCAAACCGTTGGTGAAAGTGTGGGGAGAGCCGTTGGTGAAAGTGTGGGGGCGAGAACCGTTGGCGAAAGTGAAGGGGCGAGGAAGGGGAGGAAGTCTTCCTGCTCTTCCTCCTCCTTCTCCGCCAGCACTGGCGAAGGAGCATGCCAGCGGATCCCAGGGTCAAGAAGGGAACAGCCCTGCCTGAGCCTGGCGACATTGCCCCCAATCGCGTGGCCAAGACTAAGGTTCTTGTGGGGTCCTTGCGAAATGTCCCAGGCTCCGCCATGCCATGGATCGGCGGCAAGCCCAGAAAAGGGGGAAATGAGAGGGGGCGGACTTTCTCAGAAAGAGGCAGGGCTTTTCAGAAGCCTTCGTTCCTTCTGACACCCCTGCAATAATTCTCCGAGACCACAGACGCGAGGGCGTCCGAGAAGCCCCGCCGCCTTCCGAGAAGACCTCCCCACTCTCACTTCCCCACTGGGTTCGCCGACGAAGGAACTTTTGAAAGCGTGCCCTCGGATACGTGGAAAGCCAGGTCGCCCCAATCGGCTTCCACGACCTCAACAAACCTCCGCGTATGAACGCACCACCGTTTTTTTTCAGCCGGGGGGCGTACACGTCGGTCGGAAAAAGTAGGTGAACGCATGGCGCAGAAAAGGCGGATCAAGTATATTGAGTTCGGGCAGCCCAGAGAAGAGCAATACGCAGCAAAAGCATGCCAATGTTTGAAGTAAGAAGGCGTTTGCAGTAGACTGGGCTCTGGGAGTCCCACGCGGCCTACTTGCAACGACCGATGGGTAGCCTGGGCCGAAAGTCGTTTGTGCACATTGCGGGCTTTTCTCGTGCATCGTGGTCTTGTGAAACTGCGAGGGGAACGCCCTCGCCATCCCCAGTCCCCACACTCTGTGACATCAATGATAAAACATTGTAGTACATGCGCTCGGGGCGACAGCTGGGGACGGGTGCGGATGTCGGGGACCAGCCGCTCCGTCGACCACGCATCGCCAATTTGGGAAAATCCTGTTCCAGCGACGGCCCCGCAATCCCGCGTTCAACAACCGCGAGGGGCTGAGGGGCGAAAGTGCAAGCTCAAATGCGCAACCAAGATTAAATTGCAGGCCCCGCATCCGCAGAAACCCTGTTAGGTCTTTGCAAAAACCGGCCGGAAAACTCTTATCCCTCGAGTGTTGCCGCACGGGGGCTGCCCAGAGGGGGCCCCAACGCGACGCAGAACGATGAAGCGGACTGGATACCCGTTGACCGATGTAAAATAATCCTGGTTGAACGGAAAGCCTGGCCTAGAGGAGGGATACGCTGCATAAACATGTACTAAATGCTAAGGAACCACGCGCGCGCTGAAGCTCTAGCCAGGGGAGCTCGCGTCGTGGCGTTGGCACTTCTGAAGGCCATTCGTGCGGCTACTCGGGATCCGCTTGGGGTCCGCCTTGATATGGGGAGAGGGTGGGTGATGGGAAGGAACTGGAGTGGATCGCGCCCCGCTGAGGGGAAGGAACACGGAAAGAGAGAGAGAGAGAGAGAAAGAGAGAGAGAGAGAGAGAGAACAAAACAAAAAAAAAAAAAAAAGAGAGAGAGAGAGAGAGAGAGAGAGAGAGAGAGAGAGAAAGAGAGAGCGATACAAACCCCGACGAGTCCACAGCCCCCGAGGGGGCTCATCGGAGACAACTTGTTCCAAAAGGGAAAGCCGCCCCCTGCCAAAGTCAGCAGCGTGCCCCCACCCCCAAGACAATTGCTCGCGCTCGGCTTCGTTGTAGACGCAGGCCTGGAATCAGGCCCGCGAGGCACGGAACAAGGGGCGGGGACGGGGACGGGAGTGGGGAGCCCACAACCGCCCCGGAAGACGGCCCCACAACATCACGGCGGTGGCGTCTGAGCGCTGGAAGCACGCTGGCGCCACGATGCCAGAATTACTCACTGCGTGGAGCTCCCCATATGTGCATCCTTTTAAAAAAGGTGATCCTGTGCCTGGGATATTTAAATGGGCATCGAGCCGTATGAGCCACGTGCATCTCGCGTTGTAAGGTAGCGCTATGGTGAACCGGTGCATATGGTAGATTTGTTATGAAAGAGCGTCTGCGCGAGAGACGAGACGAGCACAGGCGCGCGCAGCTCGGCCGCGCATCCAACACAGGTATATGATCTCCCACAAGCGTACGACAGCGCATCATTGTCAAAACAAAGACTTCATTGGCACTGCGCCGCGAAGACCGTGGCAGAGGTCGTTCGCTTGCGCCGTCCACGCCAAGATGGGGCTACCTAGTAGAAGAACTCAATGAGGAATTCACGCGGGGTGCCGTCCGCACTTGCCATCGGGCCATGTTTGGGCGAGCGCCTAAGTGAAACGTCATGGCCGCCCGCGCTTGGAATCGGACCAGGCTTGGCTCAGCGCGAAGGCAGGGACATAGCTGAGCGCGGAGACAACAGAAAAACAAGCAAACAACCGTTTGCACTGGGCATCGGGCTTTGCAGTGCCAGGCAAGCGGCAGAGGGATCTGGGCAACAAAAATGCCGGCCGCACTGGGCATCGGGTCAGAAAGAATACGGGCCGTCACTCTTCTTCTGGCATCGCTGTGCCGTACTCCCCAGCAAGTAGGGCGGCTCTCGCCACCGTCGAACCCTCAGACGCCGTGAAGCGTTCAAGAGCGCGTTTCAATGACACTGGCGGATCTCTTTCCAAAAGCCAGCGAGGCGGCGGGCGCGCCAGCAACATGTCCGCCATCCGAGCGGCGCAGGAAAACATCACGTAGAGGTCCAACCACCAAGTGTCATCGTTGATGCCTCGTCGCCCTTTCCCGCGGCTGAAGGGTGAACGATTTCAAGTTCCCCATTCAGTCCGACCACAAGTGGGAGAGTGAACCTTTTCAAGTTCCCTTTCCCCCGCATGGAGAGTGAACCTTTTCAAGTTCCCTCTCCACTTCGGACGCCAGCGAAAAAACAAACCTTTGCAAGTCCCATCTCCCGCGGCTGAAGGGTGAATCTTCTCAAGTCCCCCCGCAGTCCGACCACAAGCGGGAGTGAACCTTTGCAAGTTCCCTTTCCCGCGACTGAAGGGTGAACCTTTGCACGTTCCCCCTTCAGCCCGACCACGCGAGGGAGAGTGAACCTTTCCAAGTTCCCTGTCCCTTCCTGGAGAGTGAACCTTTTCAAATTCCATCTCCAGTTCGACCACAAGCGGAGAAATGAACCTTTCCAAATTCCCTCTCCCCCCCATTACCCAAACACGGTGGCGGATTTGGCCGAGTGTCTTTAGATAGGGCCCCTTCCGTGTTTCCCCTGCCCCGGAAATCCTTTTCTGAGCCCCGGAGCCGCCTGAAACAAACCCAAAACAATAGTTTTACCGTCACGGGGACCTCGGGCGCGTCTCGTGACGAATTTGCACCGCGAGCTATGTTGTTTTGCGCCAACCTTCAACGACTCAAGTCCTGTTCCGTCCCGGAGGGAAAAATTATCTCCCCAGCCCATGGAACGCCCCCACAAAAAAATCGCTAGCTTCCCTTTACTACCTGACAAGAAGCAAAGCTCCTCTCTCCTTCTCCTCTCGCATCCCTCAATCGTCCTACTTGTAGGGAGAGAAAATTGTTTAAGTTCCCTCTCCAGTTCGAACGTCAAGGGAAAAGTGGTCCTTTGCAAGATCCTTTTCCCGCGGCTGAATGGTGAACCTTTTCGAGTTCCCTCTTCAGTCCGACCACAAGAGGAAGAGTGAACCTTTCAAGTTTCCTCTTCAGTTCGATCGCACGCGGGGAAGTGAACCTTTGCAAGTTCCCTTTCCCGCGACTGAAGGGTGAACCTTTTCACGTTCCCCCTTCACTCCAACCGCGCGAGGGAGAGTGAACCTTTGCAAGTTCACTGTCCCTGCCTGGAGAGTGAACCTTTTCAAGTTCCCTCTCCAGTTCGACCGCATGCTGGAAAGTGAACCTTTTCAAGCTCCCTCTCCCGCAGATAGAGAGTGAACCTTTTCAAGTTCCCTCCCCAGCCCAAAACGCACGCGGGAGAATGGACCTTCTCAAATTCCCTCTCCCGCTGACGACGACAAGATTGGAAAGCACCACGGAGAGAAAAAACAACTTCCCACGGTGACACAAGCTCTGCACCAACAACACCTCGTCACTCCTCGTTGACCGCCGTACGCAACCGGGAAAGCCACTCAGGACACAACGCAAAAACAACAAACACATAAACCGTTAGAGACATCTCCACAGAACGGCGACGAACGGAGCTGTGAAAGCACCCTTGGCGGCTCCCCTAAGGTAGCTGAAACCAGCGCCCCACCTGACACATCCTCACAATCTGCTCTCCAAGCGAAGGATGCTGAGACTGAAAACAGGCAAACCGCTTGAAACACCCCCACAGAACGGCCGCGAACGGGACCGTGTCATACCCCTCGGCGGCTCCCCTTAGGGGTGCTGAAACCGCGCCCCGCCTGAGACATCCTCACGATCTGCTCTCCAAACGAAGGATGTTAGGACAGAACACAAGCAAACCGCTTGAGACATCCCCACAAAACGGCTGCGAACGGGACCGTGTCACACCCCTTGGCGGCTCCCCTTTAGGGGTGCTGAAACCAGCGCCCCGCCAGAGACATCCTCACAATCTGCTGTGTGTTGAGAAAGTCAGACAATGAGAAGGTCTGCGTATGAGTAAGTCTGGGTATGAGTGAGACTCAGCATCAGTAAGTATGAGTATGAGTAGGTCTGAGTATGAGTTGGTCTGAATCTGAGAAAGTTAGTATGATCAGGTCTGAGTATGAGTAAGCCTGTGTATGAGTCAGTCTGTGTATGAGTAAGTCTACGTATGAGGAGGAGGAGGAGGAGGAGGAGGAAAAGAAGAGGAAGGAGGAGTAGGAGGCGACCAAGTAATAACAAGAACCCGATCTTAGGATATGTGGAAAACCACGAATGCGCGCACACACGCGCAGGAGGAGAGGGGGCAGCCTCCCAGAAACCCGACCCCCAGCGCCGCGCGTTTGCTCCCACGGCGTGGGCCCCGGGACGTCTAGACCCCTTCCCGACCTGGAATCGGCGAGCCGATTCCAGGGACAGGGACCCGATGCAATCCCCCCTGAGCTGAGCCTTATCCCCCCCCCCTGTGTCGTTGCTCCCGACAGGGGGAGAGAGGGCGGCCCGCTGGGCCAGGAGCACGAGGGGTCGGCGGCGCGCCCGCGGGGGGCAAATGAGAAAGGGGCGGGAAGTGCTGTGGGCCCTCCCCGAGGACTCAGAAAACTTCGCAGAACGGTGATCAGTGGATGCGTGAGGCTTAAGGCGGGTTATGTCTGGCCTAGCCTATAATCGATAAGTGGGTGTCAATTACCCGACGTGTCTTAGGGGTGTAGATAACTCCGCTCAGTGGGCAGACCCCACTTCGCCAAGATCGCTAACTCGCTGGAGGCCTTCTGAGAAGTCCCACCGATTTCTGAGAAGGCTTCGTGCGTGTTTTTGTTCGCAAGACGGCCCAAACTGCTCCTCATGGTCCTCGCCGAGAAAAGTGTTTCCCCCCAAATAGGCTTGCCTAACAAATACTTACTTGGTTAGTTAAAAGATGGTGCCTCGGGGGGCCACTTTGCCCGTTCCTCGGAGGTCCCTGGGTTCCTCGAGTTCCGTGGATTCCTCGGGTTCCTCGTGTTCCCCGGGTTCCTCGGGATCCCCAAGTTCCTCGCGTTCCCCGGGTTCCTCGGGTTCCAAGGAATCCCCGGATTCCTCGGGTTCCTTGGGCCCCTGGGGTACCTCGGGTTCCCCAGGTTCCCCGGGTTCCTCAGGTTCCCCGGGTTCCTGGGCAATGCCAAGCGATGACAAACAATGCCAAGCAATGCCAACCTATGCAAGACAATGCCAAGCAATGCCAAGCAGTGCCAAACCATGCCAAGCAACGCCCAGCGATGCCAAGCAACGCCAAGCAATGGCAAGCAAGGCAAAGCAATGCCAAGCAAGGCCAAGTAATCCAAAACATTGCCAAGCAATGGCAAGCAAGGCCAAGGCAAAGCAATGCCAAGCAATGCCAAGCACTGCAAAACAATGCCAAGCAATGGCAAACAAGGTCAAGCAAGGCCAAGCAATGCAAACTCATATGCCAAGCGATGCGCCCAGCGAAACGCCCATGCGATAGGCTTTCCCCTCATTGGGGTCGCGCCAGGTTCATGTTCTCGCAAGATGGCCCAGAATGCTCCTCCATGTCGGGGGGGCAGAAAGGTGGGGCTGGGGCAAAGGTGGGGTTGGAGGGAAAATCGCTCCTGACGGCCCCTGAAATAAGGACACGCGTTAAACGGGAGCATCCAGCTGGGCACGCGCCCCAGCCCACCCTTGGGATAGCCCTCCCTCTACGAACCTCCGACAATGGTTCCCGCCGAGAAAAATGCACACGTCCGGGCGATGCTCAGCTCTCCTTCTCATCTCCCCCCCCGTCTCAAGGGGCCCAAGGGCACACAACTAAATACATACAAATAAAAAGATTCCCCATATTTTCACACATTTCCTGGGTGTTTGCCCTCCCGCCGAATTTCCATATTTTCCCACATTTTCTTAGGGGATCGGCGATGAATTGTGTCTGTGTGTTTTTTCCCCTCCCCCCCCCCCCCTCGATCGTACCCTGGACGTGGGGAGTCGGGCGCGCCGCCAGAGCCATCGTGGGCGAGCGGGGGGGGGGGGAGGGCCGGAAGCGGCCTCGTCAGCACTGCCAGGGGGAGGGGCCTGGGAGGGGGCTGCGGCGGCGGGCGGGGGCCAGGGAGGAGGGGGGAGGAGGGGGGAGGAGGAGGGGGAGGAGGAGGAGGAGGATGAGGAGGAGGAGGAGGAGGAGCATCTGATGAGGGGCAGGAGAGCGGGGAAGCGAAGGGCGAGGACGAGAGAGAGGGATGGGGAGAGAGAGACAGCCAGAGAGATAGAGAGAGAGAGGGAGAGGGAGACTCAAGACTCAAGTTTCTCTGTGGAGAGCTTCATGTCGTGACATGCGTGGAAAAAAGGACTGGTCTATAAAAGGTTTGCCGTGGCAGCCTGCAGTCCCTGATCTTAGGGATGGATCGTGCCACTTCTTGAGGGGCGCTCGAGTCGAGAGAGAGAAAGAGAAAGAGAGAGAGAGAGAAAGAGAGACACGGGGGATAATTCATAAGCGCCGCTTCCACTACTTCCGACGCTTCGTCTCGCAAATCTTCCGCCCCAGCGAGCCTATCATCTCCGGCACAATTACCATGTTCCGCAGGTGAGTCTTGACGGCCTCAGGCTTCTCGCCGTAGGCGGTCTCACGCTTAGCCTTACGCAGCTTCTTCAGGAGGGCGATTGGCTTGCGCTTGATGCCGCGGCTGAACTTCCTCTGGCCGATCAATGCCCGAGAACATACACACACACACACACACACGCACGCATGAACGCACGCACGCACGCACTCACGCACGCTCACACACACACACACACACACACACACACACACACACACACACACACACACACACACACACACACACACACACACACACACACACACACGCGCGCGCGCGCGCGCGCGCGCTTTTTACCGCTTGATGCGTCGCGCGTGCTGCACGGATACAACAGCTTCCTGCCATGAGAAAGTCTGCTCTAGTTTCTGACACCGCGTGGGCCGTTCAACCTTGAATGATTTTTGGAAGTCCCAAGGGGCTCTCGACCTCATATTTTGTACATCTCTCCATCCATCCCGCCGTTGGAGTAAAAACGCCCACCAGGCATAGTGGGCAACGCGGCTGTGTTCAGAACCCCCGTGCCCCTACTTTCAAAATTGAAAACAGGGTTGCCTTGGCGGTGGAATTTGGGGCGCTTTCTTATGCCGATGCTTGCGCCGCGACAGCGGGCGCGAACGCTACTACATTGAAATGGGGGTCCGGGGCGGCACCGTCGACACAACGTCTGTGGATGAGCATTTTTTACGCCAACAGCGGTAATTCTGTAACAATGGGTTTGGACATGGAACGGGCAGATACCCAAGTCCACCACTCCTCGACAGGTCCTCGAGATCGAGATCCGGGTGCGCCGAAGAGGGGAGCCAGGAAGAAGGGGGTTAGCGCATCATGGCCCAAGGTAGGTGCGCAGACCAGGGAGGTCGGGGGACGCGTCGAAAGGAGAAGAGTTACGGCAATAAACTCGGGGGTATTACTAAGAAGCCGAACTCTATACACCGACGCTTCGTTGATTCCCGGGGAAAACAAAGAAAGCATATACACCACACCACCCGACGTTGTCCCCGACCTTCCAAACGTCCTGGGATTGAAAAAAACAGCCCGCCACTGGTAGTGTACATGCTGCAGTTTCCGAGTTATGGCCATGAGATCGGGGATATTACATGGACCCAACCATGATCGGGGGCGCGCAAACATGGATCAGCGATCCATGGATGTGGCGCGCGGTCGCCAAATCCATGGATCGGGGGAGGTGCCCTCCCCAGCGTGCGGCGGACGCCGCCTCGCTCGGCGGCGGACACCCGCGATTTCCCATGGAAACGGGACCCGTCGCTAATCCACGCCCCCATCTGGCCATCGCTCGGACGTTCATTCCGTGTTTTTGCTTGGTTTCGTGCGCGGTTTTTTCGCCAAGTGATCACGCATGCTCCTCGATGGTCCTAGCCGATGAAAAAAACGCACACGTCCGAGCGATGCCAAGCCATGATCCACGTTTGCGATCGCCTGACCGTTCGCACTGACCCCCGTCTCTCTCGAGCCCCGAGGGCCCCTCGGAGGCCGCCGCCGGTGGGGGAGCTGCGCGGGGACTGCCGCCCACCACGCCAGCGGGGGAGAACAGCGGGGGCTCGAGAGTTCGGGCAGCTGGCGCGCGAAGGCCAGCGGGGAGCTGGAGTATCCTGGTTACGCCTCCTTCCAGTCGCACCCTGATGGACTGGGGCACAAAACTGATCCTCACGAAGGCTGCAACGCCCGTGGACATTCTGGGCCACACGGGCCTCCTGAGCAAAATGGCGGAGGAGAACGCTCCCGCACCGGCCGGGCGGGGCGGTGTGCACTGCCTTGTCGGCGCGCGAACAGGGGGGCAGGGGGAGGGGGGGAAGGTTCCTTAGGAGGAGGCTGCTTCTTAGAAGGCGCGGGCCTTGCATCTGCAGGCAAGGCACGCGCCTTCAAAGAAGCAAGGGTGGTAAGAAGCCTTCCCCCCTCCCCCCTCCTCCCTCTGCGCGTGGCCGACTGCCAGCCTTAGGTCGGGCGTGTCCTCCTACAGGCGGGTTTTGGAAGAACGACAATAAAAAATCAACAAATATCCAAACATAGCCCAAAGAACACGGGAAACCGTCACCCGACGATGTGTTTACTAAGTATTCCTGGATGTTCCTCCTGCGGAGAGACATGCCCGACTGAATGCCAGCCCGACGCGCACTCCATCTGGCGGCGACCTCCTGAGGCGGCGGGATTGACTTGCCCGCGGGGCCCCCGCTGCCAACGCCGCCGCCGAGGCGACAGCCTCCCCGGAGCCCCGACGCGATAATCTGCTCAAGACGTCGACCCTTGGCTGAGATGCTCGTAACTAGTTCTGGTAGCTGTGGGGAAGTTGTGGTAGACCATCGCACTTCAGGGCCACGTCCCAGAAATAGCTTCGAAGACCCAGAACAAGTGCCGAAACGGTGTCGAACGAGGATCTCCTCCCGGGGGCCCAAGACGTGAAGACCCTAACTTTTTGGTGATCTCTTGGTGCTCGAAATTCTTTCTGGTGACCTTGCGTGCGATTTCATGGGGGGGGGCAGTATACATGGGGGGGAGCGAGGGTTGCAGAAAAGGAGCACTTTAGGACCCCAAAGGGGGCCATGAGAGCCCGAAAGAGGCTGCGCCGCATCGCCGGTGCATCGGCGACGCAGGCAATGCATCGGCGACGTCGGTGTGCAAATCATCGGGCTCTGATATCGAGCCCCATCGCCGATGCACCGCTATGGGGGCGCGATGTCTGCACGCAACGCCCCCAAACAAGCTGGCCTGGCACAAGACCGCGGAGCGGGGGGCTGTGTACAAAAATGGCATCCCCGAGGGACACGATGCTTGTACACCATCCCCGCAAACAAGCTGGTCCGGCATAGGCTACGCGGGCACAGCCAATCCATATAACGTAGCAACCCGCAAATGCGGATAAGAGTGAGGGGGCGGTGGGAACGTCGGCAGTTTGCGAGACTCTGGAGAAGCTCGCTGCAGGCGCCACAGTTTTACAAGTTGTACAACGAGCCTGCCGCAGGCGCAGATTTTTTCGTTAAACTAATGTGGGTAGGTCGCGGGTGGGTCGCGGGTGGGTCGCGGGTGGGTCGCGGGTGGGTCGCGGGTGGGTCGCGGGGTGGGTCGTGGGGTGGGTCGCGGGGTGGGTCGCGGGGTGGGTCGCGGGGTGGGTCGCAGGCTGGGTCGCGGGGTGGGTCACGGATTGGGTCGCGGTTGGGTGGCGGATCGCGGTTCGGG